GCACTCTTATTTTGTTGCTATATGTGGATGACATTGTCCTTACTGGCTCTTCTTCTGCTCTCATTCAGGATTTTATTCAGATTATGCAACATGAATTCAAGATGAAGGATTTGGGTCCTCTAAATTATTTTTTGGGGCTCGAAGTTGATCGCACTACTGATCGTTTACTTCTTCATCAAGCTAAATATGCAGGAGAACTCATTCATCGTGCTGGGGTAGACACCTGCACTCCAGCACCAACGCCGATAAGCCCAAGCACCTCTACGAATGGTGCTGATATTCCCTTTGCCAATCCTTATCTTTTTCGGAGTCTTGTTGGTGGACTTCAATATTTGACTGTGACGCGCCCAGACATTCAATTTGCGGTCAACTTTGTTGCTCAGAAAATGCATAGTCCCACAGAGCAAGATTTTCATACTCTCAAACGTATTCTCCGGTATGTCAAAGGCTCTCTCACCACTGGCATCATTTTTCGCAGGGGGGATTTACGTCTCCGTGTTTATTCTGACTCTGACTGGGCGAATGATCCTGTTGATAACCGCTCCACCACAGGCTATCTTATCTATCTTGGAAATAATTTAGTGTCTTGGAGTACCGAGAAACAGACACGTGTCTCAAAGTCGTCGACTGAGGCAGAATATAGGGAACTATCGGCGGCAGCATCTGAGGTTATGTGGTTGACTTATATTTTGACTGATTTACATATTGCCACACCGCCACCTGTCTTATTCTGTGATAACCAGTCCGCCATTTGCCTAACAAAGAATCCAGTTTTTCATAAACGTATGAAGCATGTTGGCACAGATTGTCACTTTGTTCGTGAACAGGTTATTGATGGTTCTATGGTTGTTCAGCATGTTCCCTCTGAAGATCAACTTGCCGATTTTTTGACAAAGCCATTAACCTCTCAACGCTTCCAGACATTGATATCCAAGCTTCCTCTAGCTTCTGCCAGACTTAACTTGAGGGGGGATGTTAGACAAAATATATAATTTATATTAATTCTGGGTCATTATGTAATTTGTCTTATAGTTAGATCTATATATATTCTGTAACTCTTTTCACTATAGTTTGGGGTTCAATTACAATTCCCAATAAAAATACATATTTTTAGAAAATAAATGAAAGGTGGGATTATTTTAGGTAAATTTATTTTTTAATTTTTTGACATGCAAAATTTTTTTAAGGATAAGAACCAAATTCAGATATTTAGGATTAAGGAAATAAATAAAACTAAAAATGCAGGACAACATTTAGGCATTTAATATTCACTTTTTGTAATTAAATGGTGCAAGTGGACAAAGTATTATATATTACTCCCTCCGTCCACAAATAAACTTTACATTGCGCGTTACGATGTTTGACTGAAGTTATTTTCAAATCATTTTATATGAAAAATGGTGTAGAATTGAAAAATAAAAATTACATATTAAAAAACTATATCAAAAGATCTACAAAACTAGAGGTGACATGACTATATTATTTTATCAAATGGGTGACGAAAATAGGCCAA